TGATAGGGGAGCACAGGAAGTAGAGAGCAGGGCAGATGTGATAGGGGAGCACAGGAAGTAGGAGAGCAGGGCAGGGCCAGGCTTGTTCTTTCATACCAGCCTTCTAGGTTGGTGACCGAGGTCCCATGGGAACAACATCAGGTTTTCCCCAGGGCAATACCCCACATGATCTGATGACCTTTCTCCAAGCCCCACTTCTTAAATATCACCATGCTGGGAACCACAGATCCTACCCAGCCACTCTTTGAGGGTTGCTGTAGGAATGAAGGGGGACAGTATGTGTGTAACAGTGTTAACTGCAAAGAACCTCATGCGAAGGTCTTTGGTGGTTACTATGTGGGAGAGAAGCCTCATTCTCTTGGGAGGAAACATTCTTTTTTTGTTTTTGCTAAAATATTCTCAGATCACTGTTACAATTTTGGAACTTACTGAAGCATTCTGAATATTAAAGTGCTTCCCCTACAGTTGGGCATCAGAGATTAATGGAATTGATATGATCATTTACAGGCAATTTTCTTACCCATTATTTTCTGGCAGTGGGGTCAACTCCGAGGCTTGGCTTCGGTAGGACATCCTGGAATGGCTTGGTCATCTTCACGGCTGTAATAACCATTGAAAGCAATTTTCAGTGTCTGCTCTGCAGACATGCTGCCGCTCGTTTCCAGGAAAGCCCTCAGCTGTTCTGATTTCTCTCTCCCTGTTTCTTTGAGGATTTAACCCCGTGTGGGAAGAAACCCTGACATTTACAGTGCACATGCCGGAAATAGCTTTGGTTCGGTTCCTGGTATGGGATCACGATCCCATTGGGCGAGACTTTGTGGGACAAAGGACTGTGACCTTCAGCAGCTTAGTGCCCGGTAGGTATGAGTGGCCTTTTCTCTCTGTACTGACCATTCCTTTTTCTCTGGAAGATTTAACATGGGACCTGGTTTACAGGACCTATAGCGTATGTGTCATGAGAGAACTGTGACCATTACTGTGCTTCACAAAATGTAAAGAACTGCAGTCAAGTTCTAGGAAAGGCAAATGCAAGTTCCACTAAGAGGTGACAACTCTCTTTGCTTTTCTTAGGCTATCGGCATGTCTATTTGGAAGGACTCACAGAAGCATCCATATTTGTCCACATAACAATCAATGAAATCTATGGAAAGGTGAGAAAGACCCTGGGTCTTAAAGCCACAGTAACATGGTCCTGAACAAAGTCACTGACTGGCAGATTGCACCAGAGCAACATGCACATTTGACAAGCTGCTCTTTAATGGAAAACGGTGGGGAAGCCCAGCAAACCCAGCCTGCTGTCCCAGCCCTGTCCCCACCCGCCCTTGCTATCTCCACTGTTAAGGGGCAGGCATGCATTCCTTACACCTGAGGGCCCTGTTGAATTCTCAGGTAATCAGTCGAGTGGTAAATTTTATTGAATTTCATTTTAATCCTTAGAAAGCCCCAGGCAGCTGCAGGGGACAATGTTTAGTCTCGGATACTTGATGCCTCACCTGCTCTCACTGGGCTGGGACCTTGGCCAGTCCTAGGCAGGATGCGTTCATTTGATGCTGGTGTTAACTGAAAACCTAAAAATTGTAAATGGATTTGAAACCATCCATAGTACTTAAAAGAACCCAGGAGTATATTTTAGTTCTATCCAGCTGCTGCTGTCCTCATTTGCAGAGGGAACTTGAGGCCTGCAGATTGACAGGCAGTTCCCTGGGTCGTTCCCAGTGATGGAGGCCTGGCGTGGTGGACTTTCAGGCCCAGACGAGACTTGGAGGGATTGAAAGAGCACCGGCTAGAGCCATGGTGTGTCCAGTGCTCCTCTTTACAGAAAGCGTGGCCTGCGACTGCTCAGAGGCCCCCGTGGCTTCTGTTATCCTTAGAAAGCTACCAGCGTGTCGACTACGCAGCAGTGTGGCTAGTCTTACCATCACTGTGATGAATCTTACCGTCACTGTGACTAAACCCAAGGGAAGAAACCACGGCGCTGGGAGAAGGGTTGACGGAAGCCTGCGCATTTTCTCCCTTGTCCCCTGGTTTCGTCTTCTGGAATGAGCGCAGACTGTGTTCTGTTGTGTCTCTGTTCTTCCCTGCAGTGGAGCCCTCTGATCCTCAACCCCAGTTACACTATATTGCACTTTCTAGGAGCCACCAAGGTAGTTGCTCCGCATGGTCTTTGTTCTTGCGGGCCTGTTTCTCTCTGGGCGGTCACATAGCATGCTTCCTCACGTCACTCCATCTTCCCGCTTCCCACTTTGAAACACACATCTGTTGCTTCAGGGCGGCTGACGTCTGTGGCAGGCTGTTCATGGTGGGAACCTTCCCACCCGCATCTCTGGGCAGGAGGCTCCTGGGAGAGGTTGGTGAAGCTGGAGGCTGCCTCCCCCACAGACGTGAGGCTGGCGGGATGTGCATGCCCGTGTACATACCTGCTGTGAGCGGCTGTCTTCTTGGTTTGAGTTTCCTTCAGTGGCTGTAAAACCTCGTTTTGTGTTCATTTTTCATGGAGCTGTCATTTCAAAAGCGAGTGGTTGGTGTGATCACATGTGCTGACTTTCTGGTGGGTCCTTTTGTGTCTTCAGAACAGGCAGCTGCAGGGCCTGAAGGGGCTGTTCAATAAGAATCCCAGGCACAGCTCTTCAGAGAGCAGCTCCCAGTACGTTCGGAAACGATCGATTGGAGACAGAATCCTGCGTCGCACGGCCAGCGCCCCAGCCAAAGGCAGGAAGAAGAGCAAGATGGGCTTCCAGGAAGTGGTGGAGATCAAGGACTTGGTGTCGGAGGCCACAAGAGAGCAGGATGGCGTCCTGAGGAGGACCACGCGGAGCTTGCAAGCCCGCCCTGTCTCTATGCCCGTGGATAAAAGTCTCCTGGGGGCTTTGTCGTTGTCTGCATCGGAAATGGCAAAAGACCCTGATGGGAAAGACAACTCTCTGGGTAAGAGGCTTTGGTTTCTCTCCCTGCATTTCAGCCTGTATTCCATCTTAACAGGGTTGACATTCTGCATACAAAGTTCAATATACTGAAAAGTAGATGATTTGGTATGTTTCACACTTTGGGGAGGACAGTAGTAAAAGTGTTATGTCCCCCTCACCTCAAGCCCTACAATAGCATTGCCATTTGATATTGACGGTGAAGGCCCTGGGAGCCATCACATGGTGGCCTGGAGGTTGTGGGTCTGTGACAGAGGGAGGCAACACCTCCAGGTGGCACCATACGTACTGGTGGTTCTGAGGTTGAATAGAACTATATTGACTCTTCTGAGGTTGAATATGGTTGTATTACTTTCCCTACCACATACACACTTCTGTGATTGAAAGTGTTTATGGGGAAAGAAAACAAGATGGTAAAAGCAAACTAACTCCTCACTTAAAATCTTTGCTTCCTCCAGAGGTGGTTGAAGCAATGTTTTCCTGGATCTTACCTCCCTGATCTTGGGTATTGACCAAGATGGAGGCCTGACTATGGCTCCTGCCTAGTCATAGGCTCCACAAGCATAAGGGTCAGGCACTACCATCTTTTCCTTAATTTGAATGCATTACAGATTCATCTCCAGAACTTGATAAAGAGTGTTCACTGTATTTCAAGGTGACAAAGAGCTCTTGACTTGTGCCTGTGACTCTCTGTCCCATTCTATGTAACTTAAGGGCCCAAATTACATCCATCTGATATCTCTGGAACAAATATATTTTAGTTAAATCAGAATTGTCTCATACAAGCAGAAAGTGATACTTGATTACTTTAGCAAACCCTTTGCTCTTATCAAATTAATTTTAATGTTCTGTTTTCTCATTTTACTTATGTCAGTTTTTATTGTAAGATATTCAAGGGAGAAAAACCAATTCTTGAACCATTTATTTGAAGGAGAAACAGAGAGTTTAAATGTTTGAAGTTTTGCTTGAGCAGAGTCAGAGAAGAGATGAAATATGTCCTGTAAACTTTATTTCAAAGCCCTATCTTTAGGAAGATAAAATTGTGTTCAATAGAAATGGGTAATATTTTACCTTGTTTATACTACAATTGAGATGTTAATACCATTTAGGTGAGTTAGAAAGCAACATTTCAAAATAGTTATATAACTTAGTCTTATCTATTGGGCTTATGGCAATCTGGAGCAATTCCTAGTCATTCAGTGATTCAAGTTGTAGCAAAAAACACTAAGTGAATATAGAATGCCAGACATTATTGTATCCCTTTGCAAAAGCTACAGTGACCATCTCTGAACAGTGACATCCTGGGATATTTAACTGTTTATAATCTGGGGGGTTTAGAAATTTTTATGATAAAGAATTTCTTAGGAAAATATTTGATAAGAAGTTAAATTGTCTCTTGAATATGGTGACTCTAAAAGTCTTAGAAGGCATTAAGAAAGTATGATCAAACTGGGTGTAGTGGTGCACACTTGTCATCCCCATGGCTCTGGAGGCTAAGGCAGGAGGATCGTGAGTTCAAAGCATGCCTCAACAACTTAGTGAGGCCCTAGCAGCATAGTGAGCCCCTGTCTCAAAATAAAAAAGGGCCAGGAATGTGGCTCAGTGGGTAAGTACCCCTGGGTTCAATCCTTGGTGCCTTCCTCTCCACCAAAATAGAAAGTCTGATGAAGTATAATTACTCACACAATGCTGTCTAGGCCATAAGGAGGTCCCAGGTTACTGTAAACTATGGTTTTTACCGTTTTCCTTTCTGTGCCTGACATCTTCCTACCATTCTTAAGGGAGAACACCATATAATATCTGCTTACTAGAAATAAAAATATGACCAACAAAATATCAGATATTAGTAATGACATAGAATTGATGAACACTTCCTTATCTTTATGACAGATCCTCATAGCTTCCTGCATTTACTGTACCTTCCACTTGTCTTAGAAATTAATGGGCTAAATTACATCTTTTGCCAAGGTGGTTTTTAAATGTTGCTGTTTGTGACTCTGTGCTGATACAGGTGTGACTTTGAAAGCTTATAGCTTCTTGCTTACAGGTACTGCAATGCTTTTTTTTAACAGAGCTGTCTTGTTCTGTTTTTATTGCCATGCTTCTGTGTAGTACAAATCTGAATAGGAAGCACCAGAAGGTAATCCTCACCGTGAGAGTACGGTAACTCATTGACGTGTCTTGGACAATGCATATTACATCCCTGGCTGATGTAATAGACATTCAAAGGGAAGCGGCAGCGAGTTCCTATCAGTATATTTTCCATGTATCCATCACACAGACACTGTTGCAAGCCTATGCAATCCATACTGATATTGTCACAGTGTAACAGATTTACATTCTTCATTTGTCTGTCTCAAGACAAACGTGTTTGCAAGTCGTACATAAAGTGATACGTGTCTCCTAAAATGTTTTTTGTTTCATTCAGCAGAGGATAAGGACGGCAGAAGAAAGGAGAAGGCAAGTATAAAAGACCCACATTTTCCAAATTTCAACAAAAAGTTGTCCTCCTCCTCCAGTGCTCTCCTTCACAAAGACACCAGCCAAGGGGCCGCCACTGTTTCTGCTGCCCACGTGTCTGTCACAGGAGAGCAGCTAGGCGCACGGGATCCCACAGGTGGGAGAAGCAAATCAAGTCTGACAAGAGATGGACAGGAGAGCCACTGTGCCAGCAAGTCCCTCTCCCCGAGGCAGCGTTTGGCTCCAGATCCTGCCATTCACCCATCACAAGTCGAGCGTGGCGATGTGCGTGGTGTGAAAACCAGAGGAAGGGTGGACATGGAGGGCCTCGGGGAGAGGAGAAGCACGCTGCGGGGGAGCACCCTGTCTCAAAGCACCCTGGAGATCAAGAGCCTGGAGGGCGGCCGGGGTGGGGGCAGGACCACAACCTCCTTTTCTCTGTCGGATGTCTCCGCACTCTGTTCTGATGTCCCCGAGTTACACTCAACTGCCATTCTGCAGGAGAGTGACATTTCCCATCTTATTGATAATGTCACTTTAACAAACGACAATGAGCCAGGCAGTTCCATCTCAGCCCTGATTGGCCAGTTTGATGAGTCCAGTAATCAGACTACCTTCACAGCAGCGTCCCATCTTCCCAACAACAGCCTGACGTCAGGCCAAACTCCCCAGGGCCTCAAAAAACCCTTCCAGCCTGGGTTTTGCAGGGGAAAGCCCACGTCGTCCTTCCTGTGCTCGTCTCCTGAACTGATCGCCTTCCCGGGGCCTGAGATCACCAGACTGGCGACAGTTGCTTGTGAGGCAGCAGGTGCTCCAGTCTCTAAAGTTAAACCAGAGGATGACCTTGCTGGTACAACCAGGACAAGGGCCATGGAGGGCAAGCTGCTTGGGTCCCCTGATGCTCCTCATGGCTGGTTTCCAAGAAGTCCCACTGGCAGAGAAGACTGGGGACCACTGAAGAGCTTCAGCCCTGTCCTTTCCCCTGATCTGACGTTGGGAGATGTAATAGGGGACCCCACTCTCTGTGTGAATTCTGGAGAGAGCAGCCTTGTGGAAATTGATGGGGAGACGGAAGTCCTGTCTCCAACAACCTATGAAAGTAGGAGAGAAGAAACAGGTCAATTGGCTTCCCCATTAGAACTGAAGTTTAGTCAGGGTGTGGTGGAGCACTGTCAGAGAGGTCTGAGAAATGGCTACTGCAAAGAGACTGTCCACCCTTCTGTCCCCGAAATAGTCAACCACATTCAAGAGGTCAAAAATCGAAGTCTTTCTTGTCTAACCTACCAGGGTGCTGGCTTTATTCATAACTGTTTCTCAAATTCAGATGCAAAAATGAACCCTGTCTGGGTGTCCCAGCCGCCCAGTGTTCAAGATGTGCATGCCCCTGTGTCCCAGCAGTTAGCACGTCCACCTATGCCTGCTTCAAAGTTGCCAAGTCCTTGCAAATCCAAAAGTCTGGGGGATTTAACATCAGAGGACATTGCCTGCAATTTCGAGAGCAAGTATCAGTGCATTAGCAAGAGTTTCATTACAACTGGCATTAGAGATAAGAAGGGCATAACCGTGAAGGCAGAGTCCTTGGGGCCTTCCGATGCACTCACGGAGCAGCTCCGGAAGCTGGTGTCCTTTGAGCAAGAAGACAGCGGCCAGGTGCTGTATTCAAAGCAGGACTCCAGTGCTTTTCCCAGAGCCTTGGTCAGAAAACTGTCATCCAGAAGTCAGAGCCGAGTGCGCAACATCGCCAGCCGTGCCAAGGAGAAGCAGGAAGCCAGCAGGCAGAGGGTGGTGAGCCCCAGCGGCCACCCAGGGGGTGGAGTGCTGCTCCGAAGCAAGCCTGCAGCCCCCGCCCTGGCCGGGAACCGCCACTCCACGGGCTCCTACATTGCAGGTTACCTGCGCAGCGCCCATGGGGGCGACCTGGAGGGCCGCGGCATCCCCGAGGGGGCCTGCTCGGCCCTGCGCCACGGCTACGTGGACCAGTTTTGTTCAGATAGTTCTGTTTTGCAGACTGAGCCAAGCAATGACGATAAACCAGAGATTTATTTTCTTTTGAGACTGTGAATTCCACAAAGCTGCATTTCCAATGTTTACAGGTATCCTGCAGAACGTTAGTGTGTTCACCTCTGTGATCCCTGGCTTTGAAATGACTTTCCAGTGTATTTTTAAACTTGTACCTTGGTCTCCACTTGACTTCCTATGTCCCCCTGTGTGTGGATTTGTACGTAGACTCCCTGACGTTCCGGGGTACCTAGGCGCTGCCCACCCTCAGGTGTTGTGAACTGTGCCCTGTGAGATGCGTGCATGCCCTAGATGTGAAACCCCAGCAGCCTGGCTACAGTGTGCTTGTGACTCCCAAAATGCCCTTCCTGTGTCCTCAGATTGTGTCAGATGTTCGTTTTACTCTCTTAACTGTTGAGTCGGTTGAGACTGTGAACTACAAAGGGATGATTCTTTGTTCAAAGCCATTATCATTTTTCTTTCTACATTGAGAAACCCAGATACATTTTTATAATTCAGTTTAAAGAAGTTTAAAAGAGTTCCCTTTGTCTTTTAAGACTTCCTCACCCCAACCAGAAGGAGAATTCAAAGAGGGCATGGCTGCTCCCAAGCCCCTCCCCCCTTAGAATATGCTGGAAGACAGCAAAACTTCTGTATATAGGGACAAAATGGTTTGTTTTACAAAAATTTTGTTACATATTTTTGCTAACAGCTTTGTATGTAACAAGAACCCCGTTGCCAAGCTCTTTGTCGTACTTATGAATTTTCTGATAAGTTATAGATTGCAAATAATGGCTTCCAGAATGAGGGACTTCCATCAGATTGAAAACGATAGTAGCACAAATCGAACACTTCCTCAAAGCTTTCAAGAAAAAAAAATTCTCATAATAAAATCCAAGTGAATAGATTATTAGGAAAAAAATCCTTTTCCCTTCAGTAAACCAAGTAACTCTATTTTAGTACTGATTTACATTATTTTCACTGTGAATCCATTTTTTAAAATTGCATGTTCAGATGTCCCTCTTTGTTTTTTTGTAACATTACTGCAATGATGTTCTTCCTGGAATTCATGAAAATATGATTAAAAGTTAGCAGATTTTTAAATACTTGGTGTTTGTTGTTGTTTTGTTTTTACAGTTGAAGTTGACGTGATAGTGTTGAGAGGGGACCCAGAGCACCCAAAGGGACACACTCTCCTTCCTGTGTCTTTGTAGCAGCATAGAGAACTTCCGCTACAGAGCACAGTGTTAAGCAGTAATTTGTTTCCATTATGTTTTGAAGAACGTATTTGTAGGTCAAGAGTCCTTTTGCATTTGGTATTGCCATTGCAAAGTGGTGGTGGCCATGATGGTGGGTGGGTGGGGGGCACATGGGGAAGGGGGGGAGAGATGCTGTCCTTGGCACATCTAGTATCTGGCATGTTGTGATGGGGGAGTCAGTTGAGGGAGAGCACAGACCCCCACTGGTTTTCCCCAAGTTGGGGTCATTTATTTGAACAGGCACTGGAAAGCTGGTTGTGACAAGAATGTCTTGGAGAGGAAGAGAGACTTACTGCTATACCCTTAGTGAGCCCTCGAGTTTTGTCTCGGGGGGGTTCTGAGCCCCTAAACTTCAATCTTTAGGTCTTGTTCCTAAAGTATCTTTATTTTAGAAGAGATTGACATAAAGTTGTTGAAATTCATTTGCAAAGGAACAGAATTTAACTGCTTTTTCTGATTCAACGGAGACTCTGTTTTTAAAAAGTAAAATAAAACAAAGAAAAGAAATCTAGTTTACGTTGGGATGCCAACCCAGCCTCAAAGTGATCATCACATACGTGGTTGGGGCCACATGGCGGGGGTGTCAGACCAGTCCTGCGTCCGTGTCTGCCTGTCACCCACACGTGTGGCTTTCTTCTCCTGATCACACGTAGGAAGGGAAGTGATTCCATGCTAATCCTCTGGGGATGAGCTAGAGGAGCAAGGAAGCGGATATTTTAATAAAAGCATTGGATGTTCAGATTAGACTCATTAGGATTTTCACTTGTTTGAAGAATGGATATGGGACTCGCCCAGTCCCTAGGACATCACAAAAGTGAGATCTCAATCAAGGTATTAACAGGCCTTCTTATGGTTGTACTTTGAGAGCTCTGAGCCCAGGGAGCCACTGTTCTCAGTAGGGTCTGATTCAGATGAACCCGTGGAGTTCCAGAGCTTCCTCCTGTGCCTCCTCTCCAGCTGGAAGAGCTGTCTGCAGCAGAAGCAATGTCCATGGAGGACAGAAGCAAAGTTTTCCAGTGTAAATATGACCATCTTTTCCCACTGAAGATGGCTGTGTGGGCCCCTGTCCCTTATGGAGTAATATCCCCACCCTTGCATGCGGGGTCTTGGTTTGGTGCCCTTACCTGGCTCCTGCAGCCTGGTGGCTCCTGGTGGCTCCTGCCTTGGTCTGCATGTTTCTTCTTTACCTTCTGCATTCTTCAAGGGCCACCCCAGAGGATCCCGTTCCATAGGGAACCTTCCCTGGTCATCACCTCCTCTTCCCCAGTGGCACCCAACATTCAGAATTGCTCAGTCCTCTTTGGGGTCCTCCAGTGCATCTGCAAAGGCCCAGACTCCACTCCATTATCAATCCTTGCATGTCTGCCTCCTCACTAGACTTCATCCCTCCCAGTGCAGTGCCCATGCGTGTGCCCTTTTCCTGGCTAAAGACATAGCTGGTACCTATGTGCATTTGGTGAATGTCTGACAAATTGATGAATAAAGAAATTTAGGGAAAATGCAAAAAAGAAAAAATAGCACGCTGATATCTTGGCTGGTTACATGCCTGGAAGGAGGAAGAAGCACGAGATCTTGCCCCCAGTAGTTTTGTGAGTAATGACTGAATTTCTCTCTTCATATTTTCCTCTGGTCTCCAAGTCTGTTTCCACCCCCCTTTTAATTTAGTATCTACTTAGTCATTTATGAGTAACAGAAGCTGATATTTGTACAACATTTTGCAGTATTAAGAGGCTATTAAATACAGTGCATCTCATTCAGTCTTTACAATATTGAGAGATTACGTTACCCTTGTTTTATAGATTCTGAAAATGAGTCTCCATAAGTTTGTGATTTGCCCAGGATCACATGGGCAGGTAGGAAAGAGCTGAGCAAGGTTATTCCAGCTGCTATATGAGTCCTCTTTTCCCTGCATACCATTGCTTTTTCTGAAGACTTCTAATAAGCATTTAGTTAGCATATGCTCTGGGCCAGGTACTCAGCTGGGTGTTCGGATTATGACAAGAAGGACTCATCTTTGTGAAGCCACCAGCTGGTGGAGGTACTGAGAAATAAGATACTGGTGTTGGTACAAACGTCCAAACAGAAATATAGCACATATGGTCGCTGAAAATATGGGGAGGAGAGAGGCATGTTGCTATGTATATGACACCCATGCGCCACTCATTTTTTGGACTAAAATAGCTAAGATCTTAACCCAGGGTCATTGAGAAAGTGTCTACAACACAATCTAACATGCTGACAGGTCCTTGGGGGTGAGGAGGGATGTCCAAGGAAAGAGGACCACCAAGGGGATGAGTGACTGAGGTGACCACTGCTTTACAGCAAAGCCAGGCAGCTGTTGGGAGGTGCAGGAACCTCCAGAGAAGCCGTGTGAGAGATGGTCCTGGTGTCCTCTCCTCCTCCTTCCTCTGGTGGAGTGGTCCGTCCTGTGACGCCAGCTGCTATCTCCCCAGGCTGTGTATGGCCTTCCGGGCAGCTACTGGGAGAGGAGACCCTTGCCAGATCACCATCTCGCCAGCTCAGGGGAGGCTGTATCTGGGGACCCTCCATGTGCAGCAGCAGCAGCAGCATCTGGGACCCAGTGGCTGTAGGAACAGCAGAGTGGCTGAAAGCCTGGCAGAGGACCCTGAGTTTTGGGCCCAGTAGGGGCAAGAGGACCTGGTCGCAACTGTATCTCTCGCGTCAGTCTGGTTTGGTCCCCTGGTGTCCCAGATCTTTTATGAGAACAAGAGACTTTCACTACTTCCTCAAGAGGGATGGCACTGGGCCCGTCCTTCCAGGTAGGGGTCAGGCTCAGCCTTTCAGGAAGCCGTGCCAACCAGCTCAAGCCCCCAGTGCTGCAGCTGGTCCTTGTCCCAGCTGATACCCACCATCTCCTCGTCCTCACCCATCAGCTCTCCCACACCCTTGGCCAACACATTTGTGGCTCTACATGGCTTTCCCAGTGGCTTGACTCGGTCCCTCATCTGTGATGGAGTGAAACCAGCTGTAGTTTGGATTTTTTTTTTTTTTAGAGCATTATAGGTTGGTTCATTTTGGCAAATCATACATGCATGGAACCTGATTTCAGTCCCCATTCCTCTTTTTACCTTCTCTCTGCCCTCCCCCTGTTCTTTGTTAACAGTTTGCATCTTGGATGTCCCCTGGAGGTCCCTGTATTGAAGGCTTGGTCCCTGCCCATCATGCTATGGGGAGCTGGTGGAACTCTGAGGAGGTGGGCCTTGGTGGAAGGCAGTGAGGTCATCTGGGTTCCCTTGAAGGGGACTGTGGGCCCAGTCCCTTCCTCTGTCTTTTTACTTCCCAGTGGCCATGAGGTGCCGTGAGGCCTCTTCTACCCTCATTCCCACTATCATATGCTGTGCAACCACAGGACCAAAATGAATGGGCCCAGTGGCCATGGAAACCTCTGAAACTGTGAACCAAAATAAACCTTTCCTCCTTGTAAGTTGATTTATCTCAGGTACTTTGTCATAGCAATGGGAGGCTGACACAGACCCTTGTTGTTTTTCCTTGTTGTTTCCTTGTTGTTTTTCCTTGCAGATGACAGTTGCTGTGAGTGCCCATTTAGGACCTCCACAAGGCACAGATCACTAAGCAGTGCCTCCGTGAGTCCTATATGCCATGCAAACTTATTTTTGCTCCTAGCAACAACTCAGCTATAGCTCCTCATGACAATCAGTCTCAGTTAAACCCCCAGTACAGAAATTCTGCTCTTGGCCTGTAATCCCAGTAGCTCAAGAGGCTGAGGCAGGAGGATCAAAGCCAGTTCAAAGCCAGCCTGACAACTTGGTGAGACCCTCAGCAGCTTAGCAAGACCTTGTCTCCAAATAAAAAATAAAAAGGGTTGGAGATGTGGCTCAGTGGTTAAACACCCCTGGATCCAACCCCTGGTTTAAAAAAAAAAAAAAAGTTCTGTTCTTGCTTGGAGGCATTCCAGCAACACAGTTGCAATTTTCCATTCAGGGGAACACTTGGTGTGGATCTGTAGGCAGCCACACAGGGCTGGAGGGAGGGAGTGCTCAGCACCTGTGGTGGTGGGCCCTGAGAGGGGCTCTTCCTAGCTCCGCCCCTTGGGCCCTGGAGCCCTGGCCTTTCCATCTGCTGTGGGATCTTGATGCTGTGTCCTGAGCCCATTGTGTGAGCAGTGGGTTGACCAAGAAGAGAGGCTGGTTGACATGCAGAGGATTTGTTGTTAAGAGCCCCCTCGCTGCCAGGCGCATTTAATGAATTTCTGGAGAAGCCCAGCATGTCTCACCAGATGTCTTCATTGGATTCAAGAGCTTCCCTTCTCCATCAGCTGGTTGCGGGGACTTTCTGTGGCTCCACAGCTATGAACTGAGGCAGTGGCACCAGTCAGTGCTTCACATCTCAGGGACCATATGAAGGTTCAAGCCAATAAACCATTTTTTTTTTATTCAGAACAATGTGAATCTTTTTCTAAGTGTATTACTTCCTTCACACAATAGTGACCCCGTCACCATAACACCATTCTGTCTATCTGAATGAAGCACCATGGAATGTGAAGATGACGGGGATCAACAACGACAAATACACTACTGTATTCAGGAGTGTTAACACAGACATAGGGTGAGGGCTGGCCTTGCAGACATGGAGGTGAGCTGCTTTTGAGCCTCTTTACTGAGGAGAATCAGGAATAAAATATTCAGCAATGTGATGGCCCTGAATTAAGTGTCAGAGATGGGGTTGATTTGCTCCAATAAAATTCATGTCTGGCAGAGAAGCCACAGCTGGGGCCCCCTGGTTAGGTTCATAGTGGTCCACTGATGCCCGTCACGATTCATATTTTTTTTTCTGCAGAGGCCAGATAGATGCAATGACTCAGGGTA